CACCTGAGAAACTCAAGCTCAACCGCCACCATTACTACTTCTAGAGCTCACTCAGTTCCTCCAATTGACACTAACGATCACCCTAACCTCTCTCATTCCTCTTCGAATTTCAACACCTCCTCCTCCACCACATCCGCCTCTCCCTCGCGTCGGAGCGCCGGCGCCTTCCCCCGAACTATCTCCGTTCCTCAACCTGTTGTTCCTAACTGGACGCCCTCCGACCGCGTCCTTCGCTTCAATCCCGATCAGGTTCACTTCTTCTTCTTCAAGTTTTTATTTTTTATTTTTGCTAATTAAGTTGTTATCGAACTAAAAATATGCTTTATTTAGTAGTGATCTTTTCTCTTTATTTCGAAAAAATTAAAAAAATTCAATTCGTTAATTAAATAAATACTTGATTGAGACTGTAATGATAAATGCAGATTGCAGAAATTCGGTCTCGGCTTAATATAGATGTTAGTGTTGCCTCGGGTTCACCTCTTGCACCTGCAGCTATTGAATCATTTGAAGACATGGTAAATTCTTTTTCTTTTTTTAATTTTTTAATATATTTTTATTTATTACGGAGTAATTTGTGAAACTGAAGTGTTTTTGTAAATATTTGTTAGTGTTTACATCAAAGTATCATGAAGGCTATTGCACATCATGAGTATACGAGGCCGACTTCAATCCAGGCTCAGGCAATGACTGTTGCACTTAGTGGAAGGGATTTGCTGGGTTGTGCTGAAACTGGTAGTGGGAAAACTGCCGCATTTACCATTCCTATGATACAGGTGATTAGATTAATGCTAAAAGCCATGCTCTTGGTAGATGTGTTCTAGGGGCATTGCATGTGTTTTTGTAGTTTGATTGCGATTTTTCATATTTTGATCTGCAGCATTGCTTGGCTCAACCTCCTGTTCGGCGTGGTGATGGACCATTGGCATTGGTGCTGGCTCCTACAAGAGAACTCGCTCAGCAGATTGAAAAAGAGGTGTGGTAGCTGCTTTCCAGCAGTAGAGAGCAATAATATACTCATGGATTACATCTGTCGCTCCGGTCATCTTTTATTTATATTTTTCATTTATAGAAATTATGGAGTATCGTCAATGAATGCAACTCTATGAAAATTCATCTTGAATTTGGTTATTTTTTAAAGTCAAGACTATTATCGACTTTATTTGTATTGATGGACCATATTTTCATGAGGTTTCTGTCTATACTTGAGTTTGTGCTGTATAGCAACTTTACATGGGTTTGTTAGACATACTTGACAGGCACCGATATTGAGCTACTTTGTCATATCTTTCAGGTTAAAGGTTTTAGTAGATCTCTTGAGTCCTTTAGAACGGCAATCGTGGTGGGAGGAACAAATATTGCTGACCAGGTAAAAAATGCTGTGAACATGTGGCTTCTAATGGTTGATTCTTGTTTCTAGGTGCATTAGACGACTAGAAATGATGGGTTATTATTCATGCCTGTTGCCTATGAATTGTCTGCATGTGGTTAGGTAGAATAAAAGAAACTTTTTGCTTGTTGGAGTTTTATTGAAATTCCCCATCTTTGTGAGAATTGGACATAAAAGAAACTTTTTGCATGTTGGAGTTTTATTGAAATTCCCTATCTTTGTGAGAATTGGACATAAAAGAAACTTTTTGCATGTTGGAGTTTTATTGAAATTCCCTATCTTTGTGAGAATTGGACATAAAAGAAACTTTTTGCATGTTGGAGTTTTATTGAAATTCCCTATCTTTGTGAGAATTGGACATAAAAGAAACTTTTTGCATGTTGGAGTTTTTTTTGAAATTCCATATCTTTGTGAGAATTGGACTCCTATAACAGAGTTTCATTTTCTTTGCCAGCAACTGAGAATGTCTCTCGATGCTCTGTTTTCTACTATCATTATGATAAAATGTGATTTTCATATAGTTTCCTAATACCTTTTTATTTGACGCCGCATCCCATGACAGAGGTTGGAGCTACGAGCAGGAGTGGATGTAATTGTTGCTACTCCTGGAAGATTAATCGATCATTTGCAACAAGGAAACACTTCCCTTTCAAGAATTTCATTTATCGTTCTGGATGAAGCTGATAGAATGCTTGACATGGGGTTTGAACCACAGATTAGAGAGGTACATGATTCTGCAATTTGATGCTCCACAGTGTATACACCAGGCTAGTTATGATCTATTACTGAATAACATAAGTACACTTTAAAGTTTAAAGCAATCAAGATAGGTTTCAGTGACACAAACATTTTCACAAGAACTGCAACTTTATCCTTGTTTAACTAAAAGTTAAACAGGCAAGCAACCCCAGCTTCACAGCATTATAACTAACTCATTGATCTGTCCAACACTAAAGGGAGATATCTGAGTTTACCTTTCCGTGAGAATATGATGCAAATGCATGTGAGTGGTTGAATTTTTATGTTTTTTTAGATAAAGTTAGCACATTTTCTTGACTCTAATGCTTTTGCTGCATCATTGTCATTTGAGTGGATTCTTCAACTGCAGATAGAACAGTGCTTCATATGACTAGTGTTTATACACTTGCAAGAATTGCAGTTATTTTCAACAAGAAGATGTATTGATCACTTCCATATTGTTTCAGGTTATGCGCAACCTTCCAGAAAAGCATCAAACTTTGCTGTTCAGTGCAACAATGCCTGTGGAAATTGAAACATTAACACAGGTTAGAGCTCCTGCTTATTTCCGTTTGTATTTACCCTTAAAAGCATGATATGATTCTTGCAAGAAGAGGAGAGTGGGAATAATTTAGAAGATATTGATGGATCCGTGCTTCATTTTCTTTAACAGCTATCATTTGAATCAAATCCTGGCCCATGGAGTAGAATATCTAATGTTAAACCTTTTCTTTTAAAAAAACTCAATGCCTGGAAATTGATAGCCTTTGACAGCAACTTTTTTCTTTCAAATTCATATTTTGATTACCCAAGGTGATTTTATCTCAGATGTCTTCCATCTGAACTTGATTAATTTATGAAGCCTTCTTATTTGGTGTATTTGTTTTGGCGTTAAGATGTACATTGATCCTCCTTCCTGTTTTGTAAGTCCCTGGAAATAATCTTTTCAAAACTTCAAACATGAGCATCTTCAGATAATGGTTTATTGTTTCCTTATGGTCAAATGTTGCTGGAAAACAAATACCATCCCAAAATTGGAATTTTTGCATGAAATCACACTTTAAAGTACAATGTTGAATTTCATTCTTGTGATACTAGACACGGTCAATTTGGTCTAATGGCTCTTCTTATCCTATATTGCTAATATTCTCTGTCATTTTTGGTATGGTGTCTCATGGTTTCTCTGTTTCAGTGGTCTATATGTTTAGCTTTCAAATCATTCTAGCACCAGGATGAGTTTTATGATGGCATTCAAAGATCCTGCTGCAAATCATGTATTTGCTTTTACTATATTTTTGAAAAGAAGCCAACTATATTTTTTCCTCCCCTTTGCCTATCTTGCTGTTTTGCTTATAATTATTATCAATTTCGAGTTGAAAATCTTGAGATATTTCCTACTTATTAATATTAAGTTGTGTTGTAAGATTATATTGGCTAGTTTACCCTGCCACAAAGAAGTTAATGTGAAAATTATCTTGTTTTTATTCAATTTCAGGAGTACTTAACTAGCCCTGTGCAAGTTAAGGTAGGAAAAGTGAGTAGCCCAACTGCAAATGTGTCTCAAATTCTGACAAAGGTTTCTGAAAGCGAGAAGGTATGTTTCTTTTGGTGCATCAGTACAAGATATGTTGTTTCACATACAGTGTTGATGGTTGGCTTTCTATTTATTGGTTTATGTGGACTTAGTATATAGTTCCTCATTTCTAAGCGGGCTTGTGCATCTCAATCAGTGTCTTCATGCCATCAACTTCACTGCTGGTTTAGTCTTTGCTACTTTGGTTTCACTGAAGCAATTTCATTATTTGTAATAGAGTGAACAATCTTGAGTCTAATCATCAAGATACAAGATACTGTTGCTCTCTAACTTGTGAGTGAGGAAACATTACAATGTTCCATTCTGTATTTTTGGAGCATATCCATTGCATGTCATCGTATATTTTTACCATAAATTATATAACTTGGATGATTATATTGTTGTAACGTATTTTTAAGGTAACCCCTGTTCTTTCAAGTTTGTGTGACCCATCGATTAATCAAATTGGTATAGTGTTTTGAAAGCCTTTAATGTGGTGCAGATTGATTGCCTTCTAGCTCTGCTCGTGGAGGATGCTTCTCAGGCTGAAAGATCAAATCAACCTTTCCCCTTAACTATTGTGTTTGTGGAGAGGAAGGTACACCTCACACTATATATTTTTAATGCACTTTAAGTTATGTTTCTCTATTGTTATTTACACTGCAATCTTAGGCAAAGTTTTATACTTGAATATGGTCTGCATGTAGACAAGGTGCAACGAAGTTGCCGAAGCTTTGGTAGCACAAGCTTTACGGGCAGTTGCTCTTCATGGTGGTCGTAGTCAGAGTGAAAGAGAGGCTGCTCTGCGTGATTTTAGGAGTGGCTCTACTAGTATTTTGGTATTATGATTTATATTACTTAAGGACCTTGAGTGCTTGCTTTTGGAAATGTTCATATCAATATCGTCACATGTTTTACATAACTTAGTTTGTGGCATTCCTAAGTTGTGTCGTATTCAAGCTGTGTTACTTTCTTGTTGAAGTTATCCAATGAATCAAATTTAATGCTCTTAATCACCGTCCCTCTTTTTTGTCGTGTTCCCTCTCCCCATCCTCTATACACTTGTACTTGCTCTGTCACACATGCCTGTTTATCTTAGTGTACTCTTTGATGTACCATCCTCTAGTGCCTTTTAATACAATTTACTATTTTTTTCCTGAAAAAAAGAAAGAAAAAGTATCGTTTCTGATGTGCAGTAGATTTATTCTATACTTCCTCTTTTGCTCCCTCTTCCCATTTCTTCTTTAAATTTCCTTTTTTAAAAATTCATTATTGTCTCTTTCTTATAGTGATCCATGTGCAGGTTGCCACTGATGTTGCCTCTCGCGGATTGGATGTAACTGGAGTTGCTCATGTGATTAATCTGGATCTCCCAAAGGTATTTTTAGTGGAAACTTTTTTGATCACCTATTGCTAGATTAAATCCACAAACACAGCCTGGTAGTATTTCATTGATTATTTTGTTGGAAAAACTCGGGAATCCTGCTTGGTCAATGGATTGCCAGCCATTCTTCTTGTTCACAATAGCATTGGTAGTGATCTTGATTATAGAAGTATCCTGAAATCTCATCTTGTGTTAGAGGCTAACAAGAACCATGCCTTGTGGTGCATCATGGTCAGCTTGCGGTCATGTAGTCTTTGTGATACGTATCTTTAGCATTTCATTAGCCTCATCATTTCAGTTGCTATTAATTTCCTTCTGAAATAGCAAACCTGAAGCTTCAGTTATGGCTGTCTCAATATAGACAATGGAAGATTATGTGCATCGAATTGGAAGGACTGGCCGTGCAGGATCAACTGGCCAAGCCACTTCATTTTACACTGATCAAGATCTGGTACCTCTTCACCTTATCTTATCTTATGCTTCTTTACTGTAAATTTGCCAGCCCTTCAATTTTTGACTGGTGTGCCTTCCTACTTTAGTTCCTCGTGGCACAAATAAAGAAAGCAATAGCAGATGTTGAGTCGGGGAACACGGTGGCCTTTGCAACGGGGAAGGTATTGGTTTTATTTTCTAACATACTTTAATAACTTCTTCCAGTAATAATATACTTGGATTGGTTGTGTTTCTATCGCTTCACATTCTCTGCTCCACACGACTCTCCATGCAAACCTTTTCTTGCTGCGTGGAATGGAATTGCTATGTAGTTATTACATCTTGAATGATGTTTCGCTTTGTTATCTATCTTGTATTTTAACCGAGCTTAGTGCCGTTGATATCTATCTAGACTGCGAGAAGGAAAGAGAGAGAGGCGGCGGCAGCTTTGCAAAAGGAAGCCAGGAATGATCCGTCCAAGGTGATGGGGCCCGCGTGTATAAACATCGAGGATAAGTATAGGTTCATGATAGCTCCTTCAAGCATTAAAAGTGAGGGTGCAGCTGACAGTGCTTGGGATGATTGAGTGATGATGATCCATTTGGTGCCTTTTTAAAGAGCACTGATGGTCCGTGCTCAGGATTTCAAGAATTTTAAGGATAGTGCGTGTGCGCGGGCGGGTGCATATAATGGCGTGCATTTTCTGTACAATTACCCAACTTGTGATACGCTGAAAGAAAATGAATGTGTAACTTCCGAATTTGGGCGTGCGGTGAATAACAACATGCCGAAGATGACGACACAAAGTTGCGGATGACTTGTTCCCTCTCCATATCTCATTATGCCTTCTACATCATCCTACCGTAAGCAAAGCTGTTGTAAAAAGAGGACAGGCTGAATGATCTCCAAAGGGCTCGTAGCAGTGCTGCTTGTAGATTGCGCAAGTTGTACATCTTCAGAATTTTCTATTGAAAACTTTGCTGGGACTCAATTTTTTACCCTCTTTTTGAAGAATTTTCAAAAAAAAAAAAAAAACTAAAACCAGCTAAAAAACAACAAAAAAGAATGTTCTTGATGTTTGCACCGCCTTGAACATCTTTTCATTGAGATCCTAAAAGAGGTTAAATGGATGCTCTTCCTAAGAAACTACCGGCACCTTCACTTTCTTGACACCCAGCATTTCATTCTCCTTGGTGGCTGCCTCATGGAGCTTTCTGATGGCTTTTTATTTATTGAGAATAGAAATGTTGCCATAACATAACCCACCTCAAATCTCTTCAACAAAATTTGGTAAGAAATTTTGCACAAAATAAAAACTCCATTTCAGGGATTAAAAGTACGGGTGAGAATCAAGACCAACCCATCAAAACAACATGAGTAGGTTTACGATAATCCTCAGCTACTTTTTGATGTTCCAGGATTTCTTTTTATGGCCCCCCAAGACATGACAGCTCTCCTTTTATGTTTGCTACACAAACCAAAGAAATAACACAGGACTACTACAAACCATTAATAGCAGAACCAAAGAAATAGCACAGGACTACTACAAACCATTAATAGCAGTAAACCTGGGCATCACTCAACTCAAGCTTGAGATATGTGAAGAAATAAATAATATTGCATCATTACACTATTGAGTACCTGACCGGGGCTCTCGCTCGCACTATCAGAAGTGCAGTTGCATTGCAGCCACAACCTAACTTATGTTGCCAAGACTGGAACTCTCTTATGCCCGACAAAAGCTTGTCTAAGCGTATGATAATCATTCCTGTAATGTTCAAGTGCGAGGCACAGTTGCCTTATAGCCTCCCGTTTCTCTTCTGCCCCTTCCAGGATTACAAACCTTTGCCTCTCAACTTCTTCCTCCAGATCCTTAACTTTTGATCTTAACACATCCATTAGTTTTCGTGCCTCTTCAGCACCAGAAACCAGCTTCACATGCTCCATGTGTAACTGTTGCAAATGCCTATCCATTTGATCAATCCGTTCATCTCTTGTAGTTACCTCCGCTTTAAGAGCAATTACTTTAACATTAAGCTCATCTCTCTCAGATTTTAAAACATCAAGGCTTTTATCCATTTTTTCTATGTGATTGTCTCTCTCAGCAATGTCTTCCTTTAACTGCTGAATCTCACGATGAAGTCTTTGCTCCATTTCTGCCTTTTCAGCCTGGAACATCCTAATGTCATCCTCTAAAGAACGGCCATGTGATTCTTGCTCTTTCAGCTGCTCCTCCAAGCGTGTCTTCTCCTCTATCATTTTAGACATTTCAGCCTTAATCTGTGCTTTTTCTGGAAAAATCTTCTGCTCAGCATCAGAGACTGCTATTTTAAGATCTCTCACCTCATGATCCCGGTCGGAGAGACTACTTTTCAACCTGGAAATTCTTTCTTGCAGCTTGGAGACCTCCCTTTTTTCCACGCTGAGCTTTTTTTTCAACGTATTTATCTCCTTGTGAGCCAATGCAAGTTCCTCCTGCAAATTATTGATTTTATCAGAGGGTCCATCACCCTCAATTTGCCCTTTCAAAGTGGTAATTTCTTTCTCTGAAAACTGAAGTCTCTCATTAGCAACCCTAAGTTCTTCCATTAGTGACTGAATCTTAGCATTGGAGTCAAAAGTTTCAGATTCTGACCCATCAACCCTTTCTTGAAGATGTGAAGCTTGATTGATCTCAGGTTCCAGCTCAGCCTCCCTTGTCATCGCCTTGCTCTCAGTGGACAATGCAAACTCAGATTGCAAACCTTCAGTGACCTCAGATGACCTATATTTTTTAAGCTCAATGTTCAATCTAGCAACCTCTTCTTCTGACACCTGTATTCTCTGATTTGCATTTGTCAGATCTCGCTCATACCCTGCAATTCTAGCAAGAGTATCATCAAAATCCTCTTTTCTCACTCCCCTAAATGAGCCATCAACACTCTCATCTTGCTGCACCCGCAGCTTCTCTTTTGTTTCACGAAGCTCAATTTCTAAATCAATTATCTTCCTGGACAGTCCTTGGTCACCGCTATTCCCTGATAGACTTGAGTAATTGTTGACTGAAGAATCATCGGACTCTGATTCTGAATCTGTCAAAGTGGATGATTCATCTCCTTCTTTCTGGTGATGATCGCTGCTACTACCACCGGAACCCAGAAAGAATTCAAACCCAGCAGCTCGAGGGCCAGATTTATGGCGGCTTAGTTTTTGTTCACGCGCAGGAGAAGGTGGTTCAGAGACAATATCAGAAATTCCGGAGCCCTGGGATTGAAGATCTGGTGGAATACTCCTCCTTAATTCTCCTGTCACGTGATCATAACGTTCAGCCAGAGATCGATACATGCGGTAGAACTCCTCTACATGAGAAATTAGTTCTGGTCTCTTCTGATAATACATCTCAGCCTTTTTAACAAATGAATCTCCATCATCTTCAATTAGCTTCAGCATCCGCTTAACGTTCTGGTCCATCTCTGCAGTAAAGGATTGTTTTCTTGTTTTTACTCTTGGCATTTTGGAAATGAAAATGATCAGGGGAACTTACAGTTCTGTAATTTAAAATACAAAGATCGGGGAAAAAAAAAAAATACTCCTGTTTCAAAAGCTTGGGGGTTTTTGGAATTAACCATGCCAATCACTCAAGGTATTCCCATATCGGAATCCCAAGAAAACAATCATTAGGAGCAATTGGCTATAACTAGCAAACATTCTAACCACCATTCTCTTAGAGATGAAAAAATAGAGAGGCAGATCCCCAAATATAGGCACCAGACAAGACACGGTATTAAACATGCATATTATTAAACATAAACGACTTTATAACTCGTGAATAGCAGCTCCTTATTGATATCTTCATGGATCAGGAGAGCAACATCCAGAGAAAACACCTCGGTTTCATAATTTATTGCATGTCCTTTTAACTTTTAAAACAATGTTTATTTTGTCTTTGGGAAGCATTATACTTAAAATGTGTGATATAGAAAAGGTGGCAAGGCACCACCATTTGGTTCCGTCTCTCTTATACATGTAATGCATGTGACATTTCTGCACTACCAACAAAAGGGACAGTGAGAAATTAGTTGCTCACCCTCAAGATTCTCAATAAGCCACTTGGAATTTTTCGGACTGATATGACTATCCCACCACCACGAATGTGATTTTCTTGATTGCGATCTCTTAAAATTCTTAGACGGAACCTGAAATAGGAAGCGCATAATCAAGAGTACGAGTTACAAGACCAACTTGAGGAAGATTCAGTGGAACAGATGGCAAAGGGACTCCATAACAACACTGAAGTTGAACACTATCATATGTGAGCATACATAGAGTATGAATCATAGAATTCAGATCATGACATGGAATTGCAGGTTGCAAACCACTTTTGTGTGAAAGCAACTACAATTAGTGCCAGCATGGCAGATTAACATATTGAAGAGAATCATGGAAGCTAATAGGAGAGAAAGACTGAACAGATTTTAATCAACATGAACAGAAATGAAGGCACAAATTGAATAAGAAAATCATTTCTTACCATAGAAGAAGCCATTTAGTACGTTGGAGGAAAAACGCAGGTCCAATCCAATGACTGTAAAAAGCCGATGTTGTATTGTTAACTAACCTGCCACAAAATTACAAAGACAACTATTATTACCTGGTGAACTAACCTTAGCAACTACAGTCTACAGACACAAAACAAAGAAAAAAACCCTGAAAAACATCTTTTATAATACAAAAACAAAATCATTTGAAAGAAAGACAAAAGTTTCCTCCAATGGTGTCCATTGCATGAGACAGAGACGCCCATCTACTTGCTAAAATAAGCCAAAAGCAAAGTCCTTCCACAAGAGTCAAGAGAGAAGTGGTTGCTAAAAACTGCCCGTCTTCTAACTAGCTTTGAATTAAACAGAACAAATAACATCACTTCATCCATCTGTATGTATGTGCGTGTTGATGGAATTCCGAGACAGTCGCCGCCACCGCCACCGGCCAAACATGTCCAATATAATATTGATAAGATCCAAAAATGGGTCCACATGCATATCGGTCGAGAAGGGCGGGCCCCATTGAAGGAAGGTGATTGATGGATTAAACTCACTCACACGCGCATGGAAAGCGCGGGTGACAAACGAGTTCCTCGAAAAGCTCAAAAAAAGAACAAATATCTTGAAATAATAAAAACAATAAATAAAAGCCGCGGGAAACACAACTGTCCAAACAACAAGTCCAGCTACCTCCACGACTCCTTTGTCTTGAACAAAATCACATAAATCTGTATAATTAATTAACTAATCCCTTAAATTGACCGCTACTCATCCAAAGTTTCTACATGAACTAAATTACAATTACCAGAATCGAAAATTCTTATTTCAGTTACATAAAGATATGTTTTTTACCAAGAATATCTGTATTATGATCATTTGAGAACTATTACATGTTGATTTTCAGTCCTTTAAAGGGATCAAGATCAAACCTTTATCCTTTTTCTAAAAATAAGAATAGATTGAAGTTTTACAGTTGCATTTGATTTCAGTTACGGAAAAAAAATCAGCTGCTATTAGAATCAAAAGGGTCACTGGATTTTAATGAAAGAAACTAATAATTCTCAATAAAATATCAAATTCAACAATTACTCTAGAAGCAGGCAGCACAACAACCACTATTACACATCATAACACAAATCAGCTTATGCAATGAAAGAAAAACAGAAAAAAAGAGAGAAGAAGAATCAATTAAAGCAGCTACAAGAAAGAGAGAGCTTACAGAAGAGAAGAGAGGAGAACAAGGAGGAAAGCAGGATGCTTTCTTGTTTGTTGTTATCGGAAATGGCAGGGATGGAAAGTGGTGGTGGATGATCAGTTTCCAAAGAAAGAAGGAAAGAAATAATAGAGACAAATCTGATGAAATTGTATGGTCATTGACAAGAACCACAGGCCCCCACAGCTAGCGAGAGAGAGAGAGAGAGAGAGAGTTATTACACCATTACAGTGGTGGAAGAAAATGGGAAATGATGGCCACCTTTATAAATCTGGCTTCCCACATGGATTTCCATAAAAGTCAATACACTTTTGCCACACATGGGATGGAATATTATTATTAATTAATGCTATTAATTTTTCATTGTCTATTAAATTTCAATTCATCATTCCCATGTATTTTGAGAAATTCCAATCATTCTTTCCAAAATTAAATAAAAAAAATGCAATACCGCTTATTAGTATCTGTGCATCAATTTTAATTGAAAAATAAAATAAAATGTGCCGTCCCCTTTTGTTCTTTTTTACAATTTACATCAATTATTAAATTTCTATAGACTATAATCATTGCCAGATTAGCTGTTACTGTTTTTCTTTTCTCTCTTCAAAAAATGGAGATGCTGATTTAGTGAATTTAATGCTTTTGATCAGTATCGTGGAATCCAGTTTTGTTTTTTGTAGTTATTATTGGTTTGAAATACAAATAAAGAATTCCACTTTTCAAATTTAGCTGGTTTCCATTAACGTTATATGTTAAGAGGATATGCCATTTTTCTCAAGTTATTTGATTGTGTTTGACTTTTATATATATATATATATATATATATATAAAATAACAGTATTAAATAATTAAATTTCAAATAAAATTTAATTTCTCAAAATAATATATAAAATAATCTATTTGCTATATTAAGTGTTTGTTTGTCTTTGTAGCTATATTTTAAAATAAATAAATATTTTTTATTTTAAATTAAGTATTTATTGGTTTTTTTATCGTTTTGATATGTTTATGTGAAAAATAAAAAAAATTAAAATATATATTATTTTAATATATTTTAAAATAAAAAATACTTTAAAAGATAACCTTTATTACAATACCAAATATTATTTAAATAATATTTAACTTTAAAATAGAGTTCTGGTAGAATGAGATTGCATAAAAAAAACTCTAATTTATAGTTTTATGTTTAAAATAATATCTAATAAGTACTAATGGATCTTTAACAAGTTTTTAGATCTTTAAATAGGCAAAGAAAGTCTTCATATATGAAGAACAGAAAAGAAACCTTAATCACATTTGCAAGAGATTCATGTTCTAAATTCTTGTTAGTACAAAAACAGGAGATATTTTGTTCTCAATTGTTGTTAATTTGCCAGGGATCTTTTTTTCCATATTAATGGCTGTCCAGTGATGTGGAAGAAAAGATCTCTCGGATATGTCTATGTATAGATATAGGCTTCATGAAAAGTGTGTTTGAGAATGAATTTTAAAATATTTTTTATTTAAATTTAATTTTTTATTTTAAATTGATTTTTTAGTGTTTTGATATGTTAATATTAACAATATATTTTAAAAAATAAAAAATATTTTTTAAATAAATAAAACTTTTAAAAAAACTATTTAGTGGTTAATAAATCCCCCTTGCATGTTAGATTATATATATATATATATATATAAAGAGTCAAAAGGCCAGGGTTTCTTTACCTTTACAAGGCCACCTGTCCCTTCTGAAGCAAGCAACCCATTCTTTGTTATTTTAGAGGGATGGTCTGCCATTATTGGAGAACCTGGCTACAGCTAGCTTGCTTGCAGGCTTCCCATGACTCCTCCTTAGTCCTCTCTGGCTCATAAAATAATAAATACCAAGTCATGCTGCCTCTCTTCACGAGTGCCTGCCTTCTTCCATGCCTTGAGTTGTGAGGACATTATGAACTTCTGCATCCATAATTAATGTCGCCGTCGGGTGGTGATAAGTCAACTACTCCAACCTTTGTTATGAATTTTCAAGATTTTTTTATTTTAATTTTATTTATGAGATTGTTCAAAATATTAAAATGAAAACGAATATATAGATTTTTTTATTAAGGGAGAGGGGCGGGTGTTGGATGATGTTTCTTTCTCTTGTTGAGTACACCTAACAAGCGACATCCAAGGTTTGTGGATTTAAAAAAAAAACTATTAAAATTTTTTATAGTAATAATAATAATAATAATACAATCTTTATATATATATAGCAGTCAGGACAACGATTAGGCTTTATATAAACATGCTTGATGTGAACCTCCCACGCACAGGTATTAATTTACAATTACATTAACATGGAGGTGCTGTTGAGTCACCGCACGTTAGCAGCAATTCCCTCCCTCGCATGCAGCGCTCCATGTGTGCTCTCAATATTGGAACTCGCAAAGGAATTAAGGAATTGCTTTCATAATCATTACAAATTACATCGATCTCTATGTCTTCTGCTAATATCCTTCATCTCATCGACTTGTGGTGGAATTGCCATGAAATAATAGCTAGGAAGCAAGCGGGGGTTTCGCTCCTTGTGTCAATGTATTAACCTCCTTCAAAACAATGGATCGGATGATTCTATATAGCCTTCGTTTATGCATGGAAAACTTCAACTTAATTAATCTCAATCACCACATCGAAAGAAGCCTACTAATTAAAAGTCTTGAAAGAAAGACCATAAGAAGTGGATTCGATGCCAAATCTGTTTTTTTTTCAGTGTATCTCTTCCAATTTCCAAACCAACTTTCTTGCTTTACAAGATGGAGTGGTGACCAGACCACCGTACAAGAAAATCACAAAGACCAATCGCGTCATCTCACACGCATGCCAAGAACCTCTCTCCAAGACAAATCACTAACCTTATGACATATTAATCAATAATGTGTTCTTACAAGACATCACAAAGAAAAAGGGATGTTGAAAAGATTGAAGGTGAAGGAAGTCCAAGAATACCCAAGCGGTCCTAGAGAGTAGCTAGCTAGGTGGGTGCATTTCTAGTGAGGGGAGGTGGGAGGTGGGGCTAAAATGGACGAGCAGGCAGGATTTTCAAACCTGCACTTTGTTTTAGTTCATAGAGTATAGTTCATGGAGTATGCCACGGAGCCTGGTGCTGGTACAAGATCAGGTGTCTCATGGAAAAATCTGGCCATAAAGTTACTTGTCTCGACCTTAAAAGTGTTCGATGAATACAATGCACCCCCTACCCGCTTCTTGTCGAATTTGCCCGACAATGAAAAGGTAAACTGACCATGAGTAATAATAGCCTTGATATTTTCTGCCAAGTATCAGCAAACCAACATTTTGATTGGTTTTTGTTTGATGCTTGCTTTGCTGAGCACAGCTTATATTGGTAGGACATGGTGCAGGAGGTTTGAGCTTGACAGATGCTATACACAGGTTTGCTAAGAAAATTCGTATGGCTATAATGTTGCAGCCAACATGTTGAAGCATGGCTCGGGTCAAGATATCAAAGATGAAAGGATTTAATCAATTACTTCTTTTCATAATTAGATCACTAGCTGAGGCTTTCAAAATCTGTTAATTAATTAATTAATTATCTGTCAAATCAGTCATTTTCACAGCCTCTCCATTTTCCAGTTCGGATGACTGCAATTAGTGTTCGTTTGTAGCATTCAAAACCTCTTCGTCTAGCATTTGTGATGGCATAAATCTTGTATTCATCCATTGGAGGTAGATCAAGCTTGTCCTTTTCCTTTGAGAGTGAATACTACCAGTATTGAGCTAACATGCAGTTTACCTATGATTATTTTAGCACCTAAAGGGCCTAATCTCTGCCTCCATATCTGTGCCGTATATGGAGCAGGGTGATCCTCATGTATCTGAATATGGAGAGGTAGCTGATTTAGAATATGGGATGGGGCTTGATCAGCCTCCAACAAGCATCATAGTAAAGGAGGAGTTCCCGAAACGACTTCTCTGTCATATGAGCCCCGAAGAGGTAAATTTCCAATGCACAAGCACAAGACCTTCCAATACAGGACTTGCATTTTTGCATTTCTTAACAATCCCGGCCCCTTGATTGTTTGGCCTAAGTCAGGACACCATATTAGCATCAATGCTACTGCGACCAGGACCTGTCAGGGCACTCAAAGGAGCTCGATTTGAAGGAGGAAAGGATGCTGATTCTGTTCCACGAATATATATCAAGACACTGCACGATCAGATGCTAGAACAGATGAAACAAGAGCAAATGATAAAGAGATTTGTATTGGAAAGTGATCATAGCCCATTTTTCTCTACCCCTTCTTTGCTTCTCGATCTAATATCTAAAGGAGCAGCAGCTTCCTTCTAATATTGTAACTGGAAATTATCTTTCTTATACTTCGTGTTATTGTTTAATTTCCTTTCTCTTTCACTTCAATCCTCCATTACCTATAAAAACCAGTTCAAATAAACTAGAAATGAAAGCATGTGTATTGAATTCCTGCAACATTTAATCAAGGTATTCTTAACATAACCCTCTTTTGATTTATCAAAAAAACAGTGGCCTATGAAGTACATGTTCCTTTGTTAACTTCGAGCTGTCCAATTAATTCAATATAACCTCATGATCCAAAAACATGTAGTAGCATTGTTTCAGTTTTCTCCGCTTGTTGTTGTTCTTTGTTTCTTGGTACTGACGAAAGATTGCTTCATATTGTCCGAAGCATATGCTAAGAAACCACCATTTATTCCTTTGTTAGGAGCGTCTCTACTTTTGGCATTACATCAAACGTTAATCATATCATATCTTAATTTGGCTATCTTGACATTAAGGTAAGGTATTTAAATGAGTCACCAATCAAGGTTTCTGTGACTAGAAGCTGTTTCTCGATCCTTCTCGACATCAGGAAATGGAAAACTACAGGGTCAGGTTCCTTTGGTTCTGTTTGGGGATCCTTCTTCTTCTTCTCAATTGTGTTCAAGCTAACAGTAATCTCTATTCCCCCCCCTTCTTCTTCTTCTTCTTCTATCTCCTTAAGTTAATTATGTTTTACTCAAAATTTAATTGGTTCTATGTTACACAGACTGGCCACAGCCCCTAAAAAACGTGAATCTAAGTCCATTCAGGCAATGGAGAAGCGCCTATGAATGCATGTCAAATGTAAGTATCTCTTATATATATGTGTGTGTGTGTGTGTGAGTACTTGTAAGTTATAATTTTGTGTGGCAGGAATCTGCAAGGTGCTCAGCCAACTACAAAATAAATCTATCAGGGGCGGTGGTTGTAAGCCAAAGTGAGGTGTTTGAATACTGCAAGCCAGGTGGGTGTGTAGACCATGTCTATTATGTGCTTAAATGCATCCATTATGTAAAAAGAGACTTCTGGTTTGCAAACAAGGCTACTGTCTTGGACCTCAATCGTACCATTTCTCAAGCTTGTGCCACCAAGTCAGGTAAATTTATTAACTCCACATTTTCACTGTGCTTTTTAGACATCAAAACAAGGCATCTGCTCATCTCGGCTCTCACCCGAAAGATGGCCTGGAGATATCAATTTTATTTGTTTTGGAATTCCTGCAGGTTTTAATACAACAATCTTCACCAGCAGTGGAATGAAGACACTTCAGAAAGTATACATGTCCTCGCTCTCATCTCTACTTGCACTGGCTTTCATTACCATCTTCAACATGTGATACCCTTTTTTTCCTGGTAGTAATCCTTGGAAGAATGTAATTGGTACTTAAATAAGCTCTTCATTGGTGTACTATTTAAAGAATGAGCATGTGAAATTATATTGTTGTGTTTAACTGCAACTGGGATATCTATGTTACTCCCCAGGTTTCATGCGGTGTTTTTTTTCTGCGTTGGCGAGAACACATGGTGCCAAACTGCAAATAATAGGGTTTATCCTACAAGGAAAGATTTTCAGCCTTGACAATTTGATTTTGACGAACAAATACATAAAGAAATAACGGAGAAATACAGCAAAGGAATGGTATTGCCGTAGCAAGCTAATGGTTGTGGTTTGAAAAATCAGGTTTAAAAGAGTTATAAATTACAGTGTTTTCAAATCCAAGCTTTTACTATAATTTGAAAACCAAACGACTTTTAAAGTTATGACCAGTATAAAAGCATCTCTAACTCCCAACTTGAAAAGAAAAGAAAAAACCCTAACATTTGGTTATTATGAGTGACAATTACATTGAACAATCTAAATCTGTTAAACCTAAAGGGTAGCCCTACCTATTCTCTTGAACAGTCTCATTACAAATGTTCTTTAAATGGGAATAATATCATCTATCTATAACCACCAGTTTGTTGCACACGATTCTCTCTTTAAAGCAATTATAGAGTGCCTCTTTGAGATATGGTTTCAAGAAGAGCAGCAGCCTATAGTACCGCCCCGTTCCTCTCCCTCAGCCTCCTTTTCCTCACCACTTTAGGAAGCTCTGCATCTGACGTATCCTGCAGTGATTGTCTTGACAGAATTGAGGCAATGAATGATTGTGCAAAAGCTGTAGACCAGTGGCTCGACGGACCTAGCTTTACAGGGTCCCCTAGTTGGTGCCAACTTATAGAACCACGAATCAAAGGAAGCTCCCTGTCTTTGCCTTACCATCAAATCTAAAATATGCATGTAATGGAAAAAAAAATTACATTATAATGAGAATACGTACAGCTAACTGGATTCTTATTGACAATAATATCATTTTATCATCACAGCCTGAATCCACACAAGAGGCAAGCTAGGCAAAAGGTAAGGATTGCACCCTTCAAAAAGTCCATACATGAAATATTAATTGTTTATAATTTACACGGACACGCCATGCATGAAGATGAGCGAGGTGGAAGATAAACTTTGCACTTTTTTGGTAGAAACGAGTTCGTTCTGATGGTGTGTATCTGCTAGAAAAAACTGAAGTCACTTCGATGACTATTGGGTGTTATACTTTGACAAATTATGAATTGATTGCGTCCTCTATGAGTTGAGTCCGTTCCTGGATCAATTACTGTGCCTTAACGAGGATGACCTCCGCTTCAGCATCCTGTCCTCAAACCGCCCAATTTTTACAGCTTGATCTTTCCTTGACAAAACTAGTGATTCCAAAACCAGGCGGTGCATACTCAGGGAATTGTTGGGGCTGCAATATTGACTCATTGGAAGAGACCAAAACTCTTGATTATCTTGCTTTGCCTGCAGCTAAGAACATGTAGTGATCATCATCATCATCAACAACAACGTCAAAATCATAATCATCTTTAGTACGGACCTTCCACGACAACTTGACAAACCTGACTTCATCGTCATCGTAATTGATGATGTCCTCAAACTTCTCCATATACCTCTTGATTATATATGTCGGTCACTTGTCTATGAGGACATGGGCATTAATAGCTTGTCTTTAAAAAACTCATAAAAAGCAGCCATATCAGTATAAGCGCGCGGGTATCACTCACTTTTCTAGACCGAAAATAAGCATCCTTCCCAGAATCATCTTCTCTAAAATAATATGATAATTTCAACTTTTGGATTAAGATTATTCTGACATATAGCATAAAGTTCTCATTACCAAGTTGTTTGAAATTCAATCTTACCTCACAGAAAGCAGGAAATTGTCCAAACCACAATATTTCTTTTGAAATATAAATTAAAAACTGGTACATGGTGAAAGAAACAAAATAGCCATCTTAGGAAACATCTGTATCCTTCGTAAATTGACAGCATCTCTGGAAGATGGTCAAAATTCAAGTAAACAGTAGATGATGGACACCAAACAAAAAGCGAGATCTTTTAGCTAATTCACAGTACTTATGTCCCAGCATTTCTACGGCCAACACGAGCAACAAAACCAGCTTTAATTGGAGCAACTGATCTTCCAGAACCACACTGCACAAGCATAACAAGATACAAAAGTAAGAACAGAGTAGCAAGGGAATGAAAATATAAACACCACAAAAAAGTCAGCAACCTGAAACCGGCAAGAAATTCATGGAACAGCATGATTTACAGTGAATGATAAAAAGAGATTCATCCAATCAATCAATAAAAATGCAGATACTAACTGAAAAGAGAAAAGATTGCGAAGTTTATAGAAGAAAGCTTCACAAAAGCAAGGACCAAACATTTCCCACATGTTCCATTTTTAATCAAACACAAGGGCCACTCCTTCCCCAAAGGGGCCTTAGATGTACAACATACTTCTGCCTAAGAGGTTGGAAAATCTTGCAATGGACATCTCATCATCTTAAGTCGCCGCTTGAGAGGATTTGGCCAGAGATAAAATTGGATAACATTGAAGGTAGTAACCAAAGTAGTAGAATTGGATAACATTGAGGCTAGTAGCCAAGGTAGTAGAATTTCCTTTCCAAATCAGAATCAACAAATCATCCAAAATCACTCCATACTAAATTTTATAAGGCAAACGAGATCTCATCATCTTAAGTCAACCCTTGAGAGGGATTTGGTTAGAGATAAAATTGGATAACATTGAACGTAGTGACCAAAGTAGTATAATTGGACAGCATTGATGGTAGTAGCCAAAGTAGTAGAATTTTCTTTCCAAATCAGAATCATAAATCATCCAATATATTCACTCCGTACTAAATTTTATAAGGCATATGAGATCCTCATGTGGGGCTCTAATAACCAAACTATCTAAAATCAATGACAATAAATCAAAAACACTTGCAATATCAGACCGTAAATCTACTACATACATCTTCTCATCAATTAATCTAATGATGTAGGAAAATCATAGATAATGACACATAAAGAAGATGAAAGCTCCTGTGCACACATTAAGGCGTCAGTGCATGAGCAATAATTTTTTTTTTTACTGATGCTTCACATGATGTTATATTCCTAGTTAATAAGTTAATGAAGGAATCTTTGTTCTATCGAAGGGATTCGAAGCCTAATCCTAGTTGATTTTGGTCTTCGACACAGTGACAATGTGAACTCTGAACCTCCTATTACGCTTCAGAGACTCAGATTTCTACCAATGAGTGCAAGTTGGCAATTAAGCAGTGATTTCCCTAATAGATCTTAAGCTTCCTCTTCCTAGTTCCCCAAAGTTCTTTCTCTTAGTATTTTATCAAAAATCATAATAACACGAAGAGATGGAAGGATGATAAGCTGTTACCTTCTCGCATCTGAGAAAAAAGAGACGATTCTCTTTAGACAAAATGGTGTCAGGACTCTTGCAACCAAGGCAAATGACATACTCATCTGAAAATAAAATAGAAAATATCAAATGTGTTAGGCAAGAAGAACCTGCCCAATCAACCTCTTCCTTCTGGACAGCTTAACATAGAAGATATCAATTGAGAAAGAGTTAGGAACTTACTGATATATCGACGAAGAATCCCTTCAAAATTCTTGGGAGCAAATCTACCCTTGATGACCAACCTCTGTTGTCCGTCGAGGGATCCACTGGTACCCAACTCAGCAAGTAAGAAAGCCATGACATGATCTGCCTGCCGATGCATTCTGAAATCTCCCCACCAAGTAAAAGTTTGCAGTCAGTGTTTATGCCAAAGACAAGTAGCAGTGCATTGAAAAAACATATAATAACAAGCTAACTGAAAAGACAAAAAGGAGAGCAACATCAACTCACGTCTTGCACAGATCCATGAAGTTCACAAAAACAGTCTTCTTTGTGCCCTCACGAAGAACTTGTGGAGGCCTCATCACAGTTCTTCGCCTGTCACCAGCAAGCTCAGGATTATTTTCACGAAGAATGTTGAAAACTCGGCCAAGAAGCTGTGAATGACACAACAGAAAGAAAACTCATTACTGAACAAGAGCATACATACATGACAGAAATTAAGGCTAAGCAGCTAGCCAACAAGTGGAGAGCACAGATATAACAGACATGGAAGAGGAGCTATAGTAACTGCAATCAAAGAGATTATATGATTACTCATTATATCATATCAAGATCTTTTAGCTAATCAGTTGCCAAAATATAGTTCAGAGAAACCAGAAAATGCAGTTCATTGTACAATGGTGCTACTCCACATAAATGAAAATTTTACTATACCTCCTCATAATCATAATCACGGTCAGTCCCATCCCAAGGGAATCGTTGCTGCTGCAGGTCAGCACCCTCCCCATTTTCATCTTCCCTGGCATGATCTGAAAAGCATGGAGATGGATCTCTCTCAGAATCCAAATAGCACATTCAACATAGATTAAGTGAGGATGAAAATTCAAAAGAGAAGCTTCTTACCATCCAAATCTTCTTCTCCTGCATCCCCAGTTTCCTCATCCAGCAAACTGGTTTCAACCTATTGTATAAGACCAAGTATCATCACAAGATTCACAACATTTTAATAAAAAGGGCAACCCTAAATCCTATAGCGCACGAGAACTTACCGGTTTCTTCTTCTTCTTTTTCAAACCAGTAAAAGAACTCTCGAGCCCATCAGAGACTTTAACCAACAGAAAAGGAGATTTTTGCCAACAATGAGTAATTATACATCTTCGCAAACCAATTCATTTACAACTAGATAGTAAAGTTGACAAAACAGGAAGGAGAATATGAAACACTAAAAATTACCTGACAATGATTCAGTCTTCTCAGCTAGGGAGTCTACAGGCTCATCAGCATTCTCTTGTATCACCACCTTCTTCTTCTTCTTCTTTTTGGTAGGATCAAAAGGGGCAAGCTGCAAGTGGAGAATTCCAAGCCAATCACAACAGAGTAACAGAGGCAAAAACAACAACAACAACAACAACAACAACAACCCACTCCCCACATCTTACTGAACGGAAAGGCTAGCACTCCAAGTAAATAAATTGGAAACTGAACACATTTACATCTGTTTCAAGCAAGCAATCCATCTCATACCATACTCCAAAAAACAAAAAACAAGTTCACACTCACAAGTTACAAAAGCCGCATCATTAACTTTAGGAATAGCATAAATTAACTCTTTATCAAACAACAGAGACAAGAATGAAGACTCTCTTGTCATCTTCAAAGCCTTATTTTCAATGTTTTCGTCATTAAATGAGAACGTATATATGAAACAAATCGGTGCGAAGAAAAAATGCGAATTAATAAAAAAAAAAGTAAGGAAAAAAAAAGGACCTCTGCCACCTCATCCTTGATGTCAGTATTATCGTCCGCCATGATTGCTGCAACCAAAAACAATCGCGAATCAAAAGAAAAGAAAAATAAAAACGAAACTCGACAAAAACCCTAATTTTGATACCTAAGACAGAAAGCAATGGGATTGGAATTGAATAAACCCTAGATGGAGAGGCGTTACCTTTGTGTTTTTCTGTGTCCGTTATTTAGCGATTGCTTTGGGTTGCGTTTTTTCTCTTCAGTTATCAGCTGGTTTGGGCTTTTGTTGTCTGCGTTTTGAGAAACTAACGACTGTTGTTTCTTGGAAACGCCCTATACTTTTGAGGGCCGTTACAAACCGCCTTCGGGGTGTTTAAGATTGCTGATTAACCACGTTTGCGAAAAAATTTAAATATTCTTTTAGTTTTAAATTTATTTATATTTTAAAATAATTTTAATATTCTAATACCAAAAATAAATTTTTTTAAAAATATATTATTTTAAAACATATTAAATGTGAAAAACAACCCCTACTCATGATAGTTAATAATGTGTAATTAGCTAATTATAATAGTATGTAATTAGCTAATTATAATAGTGTGTAATTAGTTAATTAGTGCTTGATTATCTTATAATTAATACTCGCAAAAGATCTCCTTCAATAGATATGGAGACTCTAAAAAATATTTAAATAAATATTTTTTAAAATAAAAAAAATACAATAATATTTTGGAGATAAAACCTCTAGTCGAATATGTATGTAATGAAAAATTAAGATTATAGATCTTTATTTTGAAGGATTTAATGCGTATTTACAACCTATAAATCTTGTTTCTTTATTAAAATAAGAGGTTGAAGTCTAATTTTACTTTTATGATATTTTAAATTGCATTGTGAGTTATATTCCATTTATTTTATCTAATAAAAAGATAAAAATAATAGCAAACTATGTGATACTTTAATATATTTAATGGTAATTGTGGAGTTTAAATTTATTTAATTAAAATAATTTCTCTAAAATTTTATTTAAAAACCTATAAAATTTTAGATTAAGATATTATATTTGAATCGATAAATGTAAAGAATTCAACCATGATCGGGGCGTGATAGTAAAAAATCTACAACGTCAAACTCAGCTGGTTGCCTCTGGCATGCATGCATATATATATATGTGTGTGTGTGTGTGTGTGTGTGTGTGTGTGTGTGTGTGTGTGTGTGTGTGTGTGTGTGTGTGTGTGTGTGTGTGTGTGTGTGTGTGTGTGTGTGTGTGTGTGTGTGTGTGTGTGTGTGTGTGTGTGTGTGTGTGTGTGTGTGTGTGTGTGTGTGTGTGTGTGTGTGTGTGTGTGTGTGTGTGTGTGTGTGTGT